TATTATTATTATTATTATTATTATTATTATTATTATTATTGTTGTTGTTGCTTACAGGGCTGCATGGTGGCTCAGCTGTTAGCACCATTGCGTCCCGGTTAGGACACCCCGGATCTTTCTGCGTGGAGTTTGCATGTTCTCCCCGTGCAGCGTGGATTCTCTCCAGGTTCTCTGGCTTCCTCCCACACAGTCCAAAAACATGTTGAGGTTAATTGGTGATTCTAAATTGTCCATAGGTGTGAATGTAAATGTGCTTGGTTGTCTGTCTCTAAGTGTGGCCCTGCGATAGACTGGCCACCTGTCCAAGTGTCCCCTGCCTTCACCTTGAGTCGGCTGGGATAAGTTCCAGCCCCCTGCGACCCTAGTGAGGATTAAGTGGTGTATAGGTAATGGTAGAAAAAATAACTGACAATATTGTAGCTATTCCCAAGTAACAGGAGTTCTTCTACATTCAAATTAATATGGAGCTTGGTATTATTGTTGAGAGTCATTTTCATTCAGCAGAAGGTCAGTCAAGCTTCCCGTTTGGCCCAAATATACAAAGCCAATCTTTAAAACTGTCCTCATTATTGCTCCAAACAGTTCTATAATTTAATGACCCAAAAAAGCCACTATAACCTAAAATAGCTCCTTAGTATGTTTTTCAAGTGTTACTGATGAAAAAACTGCCACAGCACCACCACTGGGTTCCTGTTTTGTCTTCCAGGCCCCAACAGAAAACCTATAGATTCTCTACATTATGCATCTCAGATCAGAGTATCAGTAATAGTGACCTAGTGATAAAGTAATATAACATTGTCAGAGGCCGTTCTACTAGATTGGTGTCTTGTTTAGCTGGTAAACAAACTGCAAGTACCAAATATGGACTGTAATAGTATTTTTAATATCTAATATATTCTCTTTATTCAAAGAGCTCCCAACATTATTGGCAGGCCAACATAGCAAAGATTCCAGTATTTGAATTTAATTAGGAAGTAAATGTGTTATTAATTGAGCATTAAAAACTATCTCCTTGGCACACTTTTTTCTTTACTTGTAGTCGGGAGAGAACTTTGTTTGCATAGCACTATATCACATAGTGTCAAACCATGTGGTTAAAACACACAAACATAAAATAAGTTATTTGCATAAACATTATTTTGCAAAGGCAGTTTAAAATGATGAGTTCAGAAAGACCCGTTTGTGTTCTGCTGGAATAGCTTTACAGGGTGCAACACCTGAAAACACAGCTACAGAATGGGAAATCAGGAAAAGTAACTGCAAAATATATTAATTTTAACCACTGAACAAAGGCAATTGTTTCTTGTCCCTCACACACATTTACATTTCAGAATATGTATGTGTATGATGAAAATCATAATAAAAAATATATAGTGACCTATTTTTCTAATATAAGGCAATAAGCAATGAGTTGTTTAAAAGCATAATAATGTATGCAAACCTAGAATTTTTTCCACATTGACGATAATAGCATCTAATGGCCAAATGTGTGTGTGTGTGTGTGTATGTCGTACAAAACAGAGCATGTACCATTTGTTATTTGTTGTTCCCACCCATGGCATCCCTCCAACAGAATGAACATTATAAAACAAACAAGTATGCACTGTATTGGAAATGATAATGGACAGATCAAGCGCAGGATCATGGACCAGAAATGAGTAACGCAACAAGTGTGTCCACCATTATCATCATGTACTGACACACATCTGTGACACATAGATATGCCAAGGGCTTGGTACATCCAGAGGACCATGTGGAGGATTGTTGGTCATACCATTCTGTCTAAGACAGTTTCTTAAACCACAAATGGTGGAGCTGTTGACACTCAAGTGCCTCCCTGCAGCCCTAGCTGACATGCCAGCATGCAGCAGGCCAACAACCTGTTCTTGTCTTTCTCTTGTCATCTGTGGCATCATGTCTTTGAATAGAGCTGCATCTTAAGTAGGCCTTTTATTGTTGCTGGTCAAAGGAGTGTCTGTCTACTGGTCACTCTATCGAATCATTGTTATTTAAAGCCACACCTGACCACAGCAGTGATTAAATCAATGGGAAAGAATTTATCACCAGTTGAACAGGTTAAAAAAAGTTCAAAGTTGGATATAAGAATACAAAGCTGAATATAAGCTTTTAATTTTATTGTCAGAAAATAAAACCATTTCCATGCGTTGTTTGTAGTAGTTTGTATATTGTGTTTGTGTTTATAAATTAATAAAACTGAGATAAGTGAGAGTCGTTTAATGAGGCCAGGCTGCAGTACCACGCCTGTCCTGCAGGCGTCACTGCAGCGTAAACCTGAGTGTAAACGCTGATCCGTGGCTAATGACAACAGCTAACGTCAAATCACTCTGTTTTCTTTAAAGAAGGAAATGGGCGTACTTAACCATTTGTCCGCTGCATTATTTTCCTAAATCAATGACTTTGCTGTATTGGGGATATTTATCCAGAACATCAACTGTCGCGCTTTACCTGTGACACCGAGCTCCTGAGCTAACTAGCTTAGCTTCAGTTGATGCTGAAGGAATGAACTCTCTGGTCGGATACGGGGTGTCCTCTGATTCTGAGAGCGACGGAGGTGTGGAGGATGGAAACGACGCTGCAGCAGGGTGAGCGGTTATAAAGTTGTAAATGAGGCTACGGTTAGCTTACATACGATATCAGCTTATCTTTTCTGTGTTATTTTCTTTTTGTCTTTTAAGCTCTGCTGAGCAGGTGGGAAAAGAGGCAGCAGCTGTCAAAAAGACCCGCAACTTTCTGCTGGAGTCTGGTTCAGCTTCCAGCGAGTCAGGAAGTGAATCTGAACCAGAAGACGAGGACCGAGAGTTCTCATCATCATCATCATCACCAGCACCACATCCCCAAGCATCAGCATCTTCTGCAGCCTGCCAGCCCACTCTGCCTACTGCCTCCTTAAGTTGTTTAACCTCTAACAAACTGCCCTCTCCTCCTCTGAATGCCTGCTCTGACAGCAGCGTGTTCGCCAATCCTTTCAAGGCTCAGGCAGACCAGAAACTCAGTGCCCTGCAGAAACATGTCCCTCTCACAATGCAGGCCAAACCCTCCCAGATAGGAGGTAAGCGGATGTGTGTGTCATACAGGAAAGACGGAAGGTGCAGGTTTGGGATCAAATGTAAGTTTGCTCATGACAGCGACCTTCAGACTCCAGTGACTCCAGGTGACTGTCATCCGCCCGCCAGTGAGGAAGCATCAGATCAAGCTGTGGGCAGCTCCTGTAGTGGAGGATCCCAGAAGGAGGCCAAGGAGGAAGAGTCTGAGGGGCAGCAAGTGAAGAAGAGGAGGGTTGGACTGAGTAACACCTTGATTCCTCCTAAAAGAGCAATGAAACAGTATGCTATGCAGAGGGACAGAGAGCGCATCAATATGTCGTGATAAATGTCTTTCTGAATAGTGACACTGTGTGGGATGATCTATGTTCTCTGAGCATATCTGTGTAGAATTTGTGAACTTTAGATTTTTAGAATTTAAGTAATAACTCACCAACAGTTACACTTGCAGAAGAAGGGAATTAAACCTCTTAACACACAACAAATGGCCTACCCCTATAACAACTAACCTACAGCCACCCCATTGACACGTGATGCTTTAAGGGTTTTCCGTTCAAATTATCTCAAAACAATGAATACACTTCGGTTAAATGTTAAGACATTTATTTACATCTTATAAATCGACATTTTTTTTTTGTGGTTGCTCTAGCACACATCCTATGTGAGAGATCAGAGAGGTGCTGACACATTAGAAGGTTTCTACATAACTTTGCTTATCAAATTACATTACACTGGAAAGGTTATTAACAAATCAGTGACTGTGCTTGCTGTTACTTATGGGTTCACACGTGATTTGCATTGTCCAAGGTCACCTTTTGGCTGGTTAAAATGACCGAGGACTCGTGAGCGTGACACTATACAGATTATTATTCAGTTAAAGTCTACTAACAGCAAAGTTTAACAAACAGCTGCACAAATGCCATTTAAAATGTGTCTGACACTGCCAAAATCTGAAATATGCACAACAGCTTTTCCTGTCTGTACTTGCTGTCTGTCTAGATTTGAAATGTCTCCATTTTCTTTTTAAGTTTAGATCATTTTGTTTATTCTTCTAACCTTGTCAAATAAAGATTTCACAGTACAACTGGACCATAAAGGAATGGCTGTCCATTGATTTACACATCCCACACATATTAAGGATGTTTATAGCTTTCTAACTTGTGTTTAATCCATAGTATAAATAAAGTTGATTTATTAGAGAAAGAGTTTTGTTGATGCCACACCTTAGGCATGTCATGTGCTGTATGATTAAGAGGTATGCTATATTATTGCATAAGAGCAATTGCTTTGCAACATAACCTCATCAATATACACACTCATAAACAGCTAGTTACAGGACTGTTATGTACAAAGGCAACGACATACACATACAAACACATATCTTTCCCTGATACGGATATTCTAAAAAGCTACCAAATATGACAATGAGTGAACAGTACATAATATATTGGTGATCCTACATTTACCTCAAACATGGCAATACAGTATATCAGGTCACTGATGACATAAACTGCCTCTATCTTCTGTTGTGTGTGCACCCTCATTGTTTTACATGAGGACCTGCTGCACATGTCTCTCAGTGCCATCTGTTAGAACTTCCCCCTGTCCTGTCTGCTCCCAGACCACACTGTCCTCCCCCACAACTTCTGTCTGCTGGAGGGAGCCAGCTGACGTAGACGAAGAGAGCACCGCATTGTCCAGAATAAAGCTGTCCCCGTTGGTGGCGGCTGGATCCTGGGATTGGGATTGGGAGGTGGACAGGAGAGGGGGACTCGGGGCGGCTGTCTGCAGGCTTTGAAGCTGCTGGGAGGTTGCTAGAATGGGGATCTGCTGAATATGGGTCTGAGACTGGCTGACAGGCTGGAAGGTCATCTGTAGGATTTGTGTCTGTCCTTGGTTCTGCTGCTGGGAAGAGTATGACTGAAGAGGCTGGAGCTGGGGCTGATGCTGGGTCACCACTGAGCTGGAATGGAGGGTCAGTTGTTGGATTTGGGGCTGCTGTGGCTGCTGGGAAGTCTGCACAAACTGGACGGGCATCTGGAGCTGCAGGTGAGTCTGCTGCTGGTTGTCAGCTGGCGACGGGGGGTCGATAGGGGACAAGGCAATTGTCACTGGTACCTGCATGGTATGGAGGCTCTGGTCTTGTCCCAGTAAAACCACCTGGTGACTCACTTGTTGGGTCACATGACCCATCTGGGACACCTGAGCCACATGCTGCCCAACCTGCCCATCCTGGCTCAGCTGGTCCACCTGGCCATCCTGCCCAACTTGGCCGACATCCATGCTGGTGACCTCAGGCTGTATTGGGTTTCCCGGCAGCTCCAGCAGGGAGGCAGGGGTTGTGATGAGGGCGCCGGCATTGGCTGCCAGAGCCTCAGCGATTAGCACCTCCGGGTGACTCTTGGCTTTGTGAGCCACCACACAGTCCTTCTTCTCAAACTTCTTGCCACAAATGGAGCAGGAGAACTGATAGGTGGCATCAGCATCATGCTTCTTCATGTGCCAGTTGAGAGACGCCTTCTGGCGACACGTGAAGCCACAGATCTCACACCTATTAGTAACGAGGAAGACAGAATGAAAAAATAACTCATTAATGCCTGAAAATAAGCAGAAAAACTACAAAAACAAATGAGCAAAAAGCAGGAACAGAGAAGTACTAACTGCAGGGGCTTCTCTCCAGTGTGTATCATGCGGTGCACAGCCAGGTTGTGGGAGCTCTTGAAGGCACGAGCGCAGAACTCACAGATGTAGTCCCTCTGGTCTGGAATTAAAAACACTCAAAGTTAGAGGCATCGCCGTATAGTTTCATGACTAAATACGACAAGCAACCGTCAAAGGTCAAACCTAATGCATATGTTCTTAGGCGCTGTATGTATACCTGTGTGGTGCTTTGCATGACGCAGTAGCTGCTTCTGTAGGCGGAAAAGTCTTCCACAAGAAGGGTGCGGACAAACGTACTTCTTCTTGAGTAGGTGCTGGTACTTTATGTGGTGCTAGTTTGCAAAACAAAGAGCAAAATTTCAGTGACTGCAGATGAAACAGCTAGAAGACAGAAAACTGTCGGGTGACAAAAGGTTTAAGTTTGTCAAGTTTGGTTCCTCTGATGTTTTACAGCAAAAAAAAAACAAAAAAACTTTTTGTGAAGATGGAAATGTTGTCGGCAAACTTCACAAGCTCCCAACCATGACAACACCAGGGGCCTGCACAACGAAGAGAGATCAACATACTTAGGATATCTTTCAGAGCTCTGGCTTGACTAATCCTAACAATCGCACTCAGGATAACTGGTCCTACAACGGTGGTTATCAACTCATTAAGTCACCAAGGGTTGTCTGATCTGAGTACGAGCACGTGCACATAAAATGGGCGGCGTTACAGGTATCTGACCAATCGCGACTATGGACAAGTCTGGCTGCAGAGCGGCTCACTTTACTGCCGAGGAGCAGAATATAATCTTTACAAAATATGAAGAATATAAAAACATCATAGGAGCAAAAAGCAGCACCGTTGCAACAGCCAAAGCCAGGAAGGAATGCTGGCAGAAAACTGCTGACTGTGTGAATGCACAAGTTCATTACTTTATAATATAATAAAATATGATCACTGTTCCATCATGAAGGCACGTATAAGATAATAAGCACATCTGAGGATTCCTTTTCAATAATTTGCTGCCTAATGTTTCTACTTGTGGCATATCTGACATTTTTTTTCTTTCAGCTGCAACCCTGGCTGTGTAAAAAGGACGTGGGAACAAATGAAGAACAAACATAAAAACATAATTCCAAGTGATGTAGGCTCATTAACGTATCCTACAAGCTTTATTGCTAAAATCAGTTTATTGTTGTGGGGTGATATTGGTCTGGAAAAAAATATGAAATAGCTTTGACATTGCCTGTAGCCAACAGGAAAAAAAAAGAATGATGGAAGACAGGAGATCATAGAAATCCTCGTCAGGGTGCTAAGGGGTTTTGTCAGTCCTGAAAAACCCTCGCACTCCTCAGCGATCCCCTCACAATTCGTGCTCCGATGTGTAGCAGGTCTTCTATAAATGCCGGTGATGCCATTATGTTGAGAACTGCTTCGTTTTCTGCTCCTTCTAAAGTTTTACGAGAGAGAACTGATTTTCAGAGGGCGGTGTTTTTATACCCAGTGATCTCAATCTCCAACATAACCTGCTGCGGAGCAGATTAGCTGTTCAGCATAAGTTACTATGGTGATGTACTCCAGTAAGAAGTAAACCACCATCGTAGGACTGAAAACCCAGGATTTAACCTGAAGTTACCTCGCTCACCCTAAATCCTGCTTCGTAGTATAGGCCTCTGGTCAAACTGATAAATGACAATAAACATATTAAAGAAATGTGTGTATGTTGTGTTGGTATGATGCTTAATCTAACAACGGTATGCACTGCTAAACTCTGGGAAATGTCAGCCTGTTTTCAGCATTTAATAGACTACATAATTAATAGGATACTAAAAACTTGAAAAACAAATCAAGAATTTCCAGGTTTAACTCTGTTAGAGAGTGAGGAAAGTAACTGTTTACTTGACGGAGCCAGTTCTTTTCATTTTAATCACTTTAGATGTTTTTTTTTTTTTTGGTAGTTTAGTCATTTACTACTATCTGCTGGCAACTTGCTCACTATGACTTCAGGGCATGTTGGCTCCCATTTGGTTGTTTCTGGTCTTTGTAACTCCACATTCTTGCTCTTAGCTATAGTTTACCTCAGTTCTCTGCTCTGATTATTTCCCCATAACATCAGAGACTTTGTGTATCTTACAACAACAGACCTCTGTTTCACAAACCTGCCTCCTTTTCCCACTTTTGATTAAATCTTTTGTAATCTTATAAATATTCCTATAAGAGGTAGAACAAAAATCATCAGATAAAGTATATTAATTTAATATGAAACATTTTTCCCTCTAATAACACATTGTTGTTGACCTAATACGTAGAGAACATCAGTATAATTACACTATAAAGCAATGCCCTAAACACTAATAACAATAATAAAACTGATTTATCTTAAATACAGCTTGTCTTGTTTAGAATTGCCTTTCGGTGAGGAGATAAAACAGACCTACTACATGAAGTGAAGACTATGCTTTTGGTGAATAGTTTACAGGGACAGGTGGAAACAACAGGCTTGTGTGTTTGCTATGACAAACCTGCAGGTAGCGAGGATGAGCCAGAACTGTCCCACATCCTTCCATTTCACAGCGCACATATTGCACTGGGGGCTTCTTCCTGTGAGTGAAGCACATGACAACAGTGAAGTCAAATATTAAATGGATTTTGACATCTTCAGTGACATGCCGCATGAACAAGTCCATGGCTTACCATGCCAATTATCAAACACTACCATATACTTCGTTTCTATATATAATGCTGGAATGATCTATAAAATTATATTACTAATTTCAGATTATAACGCTCCAACACAGACATCTACTTCACCTTCTCTTTGGCAACCGTGGGGTTTTATCATCTTTCTTCCGCCGACCTCTCCTAACACAAGAACAAAGAAAATTACACAACTGCGCAGTACAGTGAGCCGAAACCGTATTCTATTATGTAGTGAATAAAAAGCCATTTTGAAAAAAGTTTGTTTTGTTACCACACACACTCAATTCAGACAGAAGCAACAATAATAGACTCAGCAAGAACAATCGGTTAGTACTTCAAACCAACAGACTATGAATAACTCAGATTCATATTGAAAACATTTCCTACTTCAAAGTCTGGGACCGTACTTACTTCCTAGGTCCATCTGGATCCTCCACTATTTCCTCTTCCAGCTTTACTTCCTCTTGTACGCTCTCCAGGTTGTCTGAACCTTCTACTTTTATCTCAGCGACCTCTTTCTCTTTCTTCGGGGCTTTCTCTTTTTCTTTCTTCTCCTTCTGTCTAGGAGGAGCTCTGCGCTTTGGTTTGGGGACATCCCTAATAAAACAAAGACATAATCAGTTATTAAACAAGCAAAAATATCTTCTCATGTCTAAACGGAGAAAAACTGAGGTAATGCAAACTGCAGTGCAGCCTACTAAATTCCACATTGACACACAAACCTTTCAGCCTTCGGGTCATAGCTCTGGTCATTTAAGTCATCTCTGAAGGGAACATCTTCATCGCTGCTGAGTGCCTCTTCCTCCTCTATGCTGCTGAAAGCAGAAAAACAAATCACATCCAGCTACATTTTACACATTCTGCACAGGGTCAAGTGACGCGCTTGAGTTAAGTGTACCTCTGACTCTGTGGCTGATAGTTGAGGTCATTTGGGTCATCATTAAATGGAGGGTCTTCATCATCCAAGATTGGTTCAGTGGCTTCCTCGCTTTCCTCCTCTTTCTTTTCACTGAGACAGCGTAAAGTGTGAAAGCCAGCAGTTACCAAAACACAGCACCGGTATCTGACTTAGTCACACAGTTGTGCGATACATAAGAGCGGAAAGGAGAATATAGATGCTTGTAATATCATCTATGACCTGCAGCCTCATCATTTGGCAAAGTTAAACTATGTGTGACTCTTTTTAATGTTTGAGAAGGAAAAAAATAACCGGAGTCAGACTAAGTAAATATATATATCTGACTGGTTTCAATGCTTGTGTATCAGTCTCCAAACTATAAGGGTACAGAAGATAGATTGCTTACAATATCTTACATAATCACATATTTAAAGGGTCAGTCGATCCAAATCACACAACAATATTTTTCTTGTTATTTACACAACTTTCCCTGAATTATCTGCATGGCGAGATAACGAGGAATAAATGTGACTTTTTCTTTTATATACATTCTAACTTCATGGTAATATGGTGTCATGTTTCCTCCAAAAATGAAGTTCACAGTGTAAAACATTTAACAGTTTCGATAATCATATTACACTCACCGAAAGGGATAAAAGTATACTTACATTTCATACTTTTCTTTATTGTTCACCTCTACTTCTGCTCCTGCATGGCAAAGACAAAGACATCATGAGTTTGAGAAATGTAACAAAAGCTTTCTTAGTCATTTGCACCTTCACACAAGCTTACATAAAGCATTTATACAGAAAACTATAAATTCATTGCAGTCTGTGAAGGTGACTAATTAGATGTAGTAATGACAGATCAGGATAGGATTGCACCCAGACTTCTTATCCACAACTAATCCATAATTAGAGATACACGGAAGCAGCTGCCAGCGACAGTTTTCATACAGAATAAAAATCCTCTACAACATTGTCTGTGTGCTTCCGCGTCTGCATGATTAGATTTTTGAGCTATAAGCCCACATGCTGAACCATCGCAGCTCACTTTCAACAGGTTGCTCACCAGCTGGATTCTCCATTCCAGGTTCGGTCTTACACACAGGCTTGGCAGAGCCGCGGACAGCCCTGCCAGATGGGGGCTTGGCAGGAGTCTGGGCTGGAGGGCGTCTGGAGGGAAGAGCTGGAGTGAGGGAGGAGAGGCATGCAATCAAACATACTGTACGCCATGAAGTGTGATACTGGGATGACACAAGGAAACACAGCAGATCTGTTTAAATTACACACATCTTCACGCATATTTAGAATGAGATTTGGCTTAAATGTAAATTCTGCAAGCAGCGTATTGTGACAGATTAATGCAACATTTCACTGTTTACCTTGTGCATCTGTGGCAGGTTTCTTGGGCTCTTCTGAACTGCAGAAAGAAGAAAACAAACACTGAGATCGTATATTTTCTCCATCTGCATTCCTACATACTAATCACTGATCATCTCTCCAGTAGGAAAGCATTTATAAGTTGCAGCACTGGGTAAAAACATGATCAGTTTTTACATCCAGGTAAGTTTTACTCCACCCTTCCCGTGCAGGCAGCAGAAAGGGGACGAGCCTCGCTGAAGGCGTGCTTTTGACAGGAGCTGACCCACCGACACACGTTGAAAGTCTAGACGGGTTCATTATAAACAAATGAGGAGCTCTATCAGCAATGACTGGTTCATTAAAAAACTTACTCCGTTCCCTGCTCTCCCGTGAGTCCCCCTCCAGCCTCAGCACAACCCGCAGATTCAGAATTTTTCTTCCGCCTGGAGTTGGAAACTTTCCTCCGCTTGGTCGCGCCGGTGTCCGGGCTCGGTTCGTCTTCGTCGTCGTCGCTCTTGGTGTCCTTCAGCCAGGCCGGTACTGCCCTCGTTGACCTGTCTCTTAAAACCCGTCCTGAGGTCTGCGGGCTCGACGCAGCTCCGTTAACGTCCGTCACTGAAGCAGAGCCGCCGGACCTAGGGCGGCCCGCTCCCCGCTCTCTGAGCGCCCGACGCGGTGTGCTGGCCGCACTGGTGGCCGGGGTCTGCTGTGCGGCCTTGTCCTCCGTCGGCTCTTTTCCTTTATTTACATCCCCGGCTCGGTCGCCGGCTGGTTCCATCACCGTGAGGACACTAAAGCCTACCTCAGATACCGCTTAAAGTCAAGCAGGTTTACTTGCAAATTGGTGAAAAACTGTCCACATCTGCTTTAAAGACGTTTTGACTGCAGGCGGCCTTTATCCAACAGTGGTGCATTTTCTGTTGGCTTCGTCGCAAATTAAATACATATATTTATTGACTGGAAATTGAAAACTTTTCTTAATTATCTATTCAGCAATAAACCGATATAATTTTAAAGAAGCAGACACTATTTTCTCGTTCTTAAAGCTATAGTAAACCTACTTATTCGCCCGGGCCTGGAGCACAACCATTTTGTGCGCTTTGTTGCGTCTCCTTTAAGCCAAATATAAACTGAGGCTACACTGAGGAGCGGCAGCGCGTTTCAGCAGCTGCTGTAATCATGTGGATTTCCCTCCGAGCTCTTTGCATATGGAGTCCGCCTCGGTGCTGTGTTTGGAAATCTGCGAAGGCGGCAGCAGCCGTGCAGCAGCGGCGCGCACACGTATGGCTGCCGAGGCATCATGGGAGCTGTAGTTTTGATCAGCTCGACCCCGCTTGAATTTATTTATTTTTTTTCATTATTATTATTATTTTTTTATTATTATTTTTTAACATTCCGGTCTATTTTTGGTTTCATTTTAGCGTTTTTCAATGCAAAACAGGAATAGCAATTTCTGGGTCAACTAGCAGGGGGATTTAATTCCTACATTATAAATAATACATATAACAATTTTGATGTAGAAAGATGTGTGAACATATTGCCATGCATGCACAATTGTCTTCCTTTTTTTCCCCCCCAGATGATATTATTAATTTAAGTCCATTTTCAATGGTATACTTCTGTCACATAATATTTTTGCAGTTTGTGTTTAAAAAGTAACAAATTAATTACCATTTTACTTAGCTGTATGTTAAATACCTTCATCTGACATGTGACAAATTCACATTTTAACCCTTAAAATACTGAATGTGGTTTGTGTCTCCACAATAATCTGCACTGCTGACTGTGGAGCTAACATGGCTGCCAGTGAAAACCTGCACTGACTGGTCTGAAACAGTGGCTATGCTGCAGGCTGCTATGATGAAGTGTATTTACCACCAGATGGCAACAGTAGAACACACATGCTGAAAGTCAAACTTCCACCTGCCATCATTTAGAGTGATAAGGCAGGCCCTGTGCTGATGTGTTTACACAGGCAGCATGTTGGAGATAGTATTCCTGGGAAGTAATCTCAATTCTGCCTTTTTGCTGGGAGAGTCTATAAAGTTTTTTAATCAAACACTGATCACAAAAACACTGCTGTGCGGAAACACAAACTACTGTACAAGATTGGAGCAATACTGCAAATTTAGATTTTTGATTCAAGTCATACAATAGCCCAGAATGGCCAATATTGATGCTAATTGTAACTATTGTATGCAACTATTGAGCTGTAATGTAAAAGAGACCCTTGTCATGATATATATAGTTAGTGCACCCTTAGTAAGATCATTCTGACTTCATTGGTATTACCACAAAGAAAAGTGTTCATGTGTCCACGACATGATCTACCTGGAGATTGATTTGCTGTTGGTGTCACTGCTACTGACACCAGAACAGATGCTCAAGAAAAGCATCGGTAGTCTACTTTTAATCACGCTACACTTTATTGTAGAACAAGTAATATAGTGAGAAAGTGGACATAAAATGCACCTGTCGCGACCTCTCTCCTGCACAAATCGTACCACATCATGTTATTTAAGTCCTCCCTGAACCTCTCCCTGGGGTACGGCATGTTTCTGGAGTAAAGTTGACCTGCCACAGAGAAGTTTATGAAACTCTGTCCAAACACTGTGCTCCCTCTCCTCTGTCCACCACGACATGTTGCTTAATAATAGCTGATGTATGAGGTCAGGGACAGGTTTCCATTCACAGAAGTCGAAGTCCTCTGCAGCTCTCCTTCGAGAAAGGTCCGACCCTTTCGGCAAGTTGGCTCTGTTATGTTATTCAGTTTAATTTAAAACTAAGGTTAGCTGACATGGATTAGGCAGCTTGTGTTGCGGGACACAGCAAACTAGGTTGGAAAAAATTAACGACAACAGCAAGGCATCCTTTGGAAAATGCTTTATTTGTCTACTTTATCACTATAAATATAACAACGCAGAACAAGGTTTCTTTTTTTCTTTTTTTTTTTAACAAACCTTCAGATAGAAAACAGTCTGCATAGGTCTACAAAGGTATAGCAAAGGGCACATCTTGGCAATAAGGCACACACTAGGAAAAGGCTTAAATGGTAACACCTATATTGAACTAGGCACATGTAGCTCCACGCCACTGACACAAGGAGGTCCTCCTACAGTGTGGGTGAAATGCAGTTAATAGAAAGTCAAGCAGGTATTTTGAGTGGAAGGTTTAACACATGAATTTGGATGGCGGCTAAATCATTGTTAGACTTTTACTTTTTTTTCTTTCTTTTTTTTCCGCCAAAACTGACATGCAGCAGGTCCAAAGTGGCTCCAATGGCTGCTGCTAAGACACCAGTGGCCAGTTTTAACCTTTGCTGCTAAAACTGATAAAACGTAGCAGAACGTGAAGGTCTTCGTATTCCCACTCATAACAACGAATCCAGTTCAAAATAGCAAAACAAAACATTACACAAAAAGCACAATAACCTTGAATGTTTAAAAAACGATTGGACACTTTGGCAAAAAAAGAAGAGAAAAAAAAAACACTTTTGTTACTCTGACTTTTTGTCTCTAAACAAGGTGTAAATAAAGAAAAGAAATATGTTTTATAATATATTATACCTTTTCTTCTCACTTCATACACAACACACATAATGCATATATTAAATATATCCTGACTTATTGTCATCATACAAGATAATAATAAAGCAGTTAACAGCAGTTTGTCTTCTACATTAAATCCAGTTTCAGAGGAGAGAGAGAAGTAGTAAAATGCAGATGATGGAGTGAGATTTAAATTCATACAAGTATGGAGGACTAAACTCTTAAACTTACTATCTCATCCACAATCATTACATCCGGACACTCCCCAAAGTCAAATGCATCTGTGTGTTATCGAAAATCTGAGAAGCTGATGAAAAAAGTTAGAAAATAAAATACCATCAAATGAGGAGAATAAAAAAAAAGGAGGGTTCATAACAAAAGTACAAGGTAGCATAAAAATGTTTGGCATGTTTCTATAAAGGAATGGCTGTTGTGGAGTGTGACTTCATGATCAGCAGCTGCTTGAACTGGTTTCAGTGTTGCAGTTCATATATTGCATGGCTACTTGCATATTTCATTGTGAAATATTGCTCCAGTTATTTCAATAATACACTTGCCGTTGTTGTTTTTCAACACACTACAGAGTTTTAAAAGTGCCTACTAAGCATTCAGAAGGGTTATTTAATGTTTTTCCGTGAAGAAAAAATGTCACACATATGAACATGACGAAAGCCAAACTGGTCCAGTTTAAACAGGAGAATTCATGCTCAACATTTAATATCTCTTCTTCTGAAAGTGGCAATCGCTTGCCTTTTTATAAATAGGTTTAAGTGCGCCTTGGTCAAGCACAGTTTGCAGGACGAGAAATAAAGTGGAGACGGACATATGGAGTGTTACCTACAGGAGGGAGGTAGCCTTGTCACATCTGGCTGCAGAGGCTGAAACCTGCTCGTCTCAACGCGATACAATAAAACCCCAAATCTGGTTCATGGGAAATATGGAGAAAGTCTACTCCTCTTTGTGCCAAACACATAGGCTTAGCTTTCTCATAAAAGGCACAGTGAAAAGCATCAAGTGGCACATACAGCATGCAGATGTAAGGCACTGTAGTCAGGCACAGAGAATCTTTCTAAAGTCATCAGACCGGAGTGTAGTATGTAGACTTAAGTTTTTTTTTGGTAAGCACTGGCAAATGCAGGAGCTATTCAAGTGACACATTGCTCCAGTCCATACAGAAAAATGTCTCTCGTTTCTGCCCATGTTTGTTCACCTTACAAATTCAAAAACTACAATAAAAACACACATAAATGAGAGAAAAAAAAAAGAAAAGCTATTCAGTCTTAGCCCCCTATCAGCGCAGCTTCTTAGGATGGAGAATGTTTCTATGCACGTGATGTCTACATAGCTTGTTGGCATCATTTTCCAGTTTTCTTTTCTCAGGTATTTGTTCCCCAAGTATTCTGTCACAATTACATTATTTAGTGGTGACATTTCTTTAAACAAAATCAAAAAAAATGTTTCAAAAAGTTAAAAAGGAGACAGAAAAACAAGCAATCTAATTATAGGCAAATAAACGCACCTAACCTTCATTTTAAACAACCAAAACACAATAAAACTAAATAAACCAAAAAGTACCAAACAGGCATGTTCAAAGCATACACATTCAACCAGCGTGGACGGACAGCATCACCTACAGCATGTAGAACGGGCCAGAATACTATATAATGACAAAAAAAAAAAAAAAAATCTATAAAACATTAATATGTCCAAAGACAGCTGTGTTCAGTGGTATCCCCAGTTATCAGTAGTTCCTGTTGTACTTTTACTTTGCCTTTCAAATAACTTTACTTTCTTTTGTCATTTTTACACTTTCGACCAGGTGTAAAAGTCTGTGTTTCCTGTTTCAGAGAACAGATACCACCACACAATAAAAAGAGAGATCTACAAAGAATAAAACTTTAAATATGCATCTTCTCTTCATAAATACTTGAACGTACCTTCAGTGTTACTGTTGCCATAGCAACAAGGTGGTGGGGGTCACAGAGAGGGACTGACTTGTGTTAATGTGAGTTATGGTTATTGCTGGGTTGACTGTCTTCTATATTTGTTACAATAGTCAGTAGAAAACATTGATGCTGCCTCATTAAGAATGTTATATGGCTGACTTGGATCCCGGACATACTGAGGCCAACAGATATGAGATGTCAGGTTGTCATTTTGTCTGTGCTCTTAATATTTGCTACAAATTCCTTTAGAACTCAAGTTCAAGAGATGTTTCTATATGTGACGCTGCTGAGATGTCATTCAGTCACAGGCAAGACAACTTGTTTTGTGTGGTCTGAGCCTCCGCATCAGTATGTCTGGTAGACGTCATGGATGGGCAGCTGGAAGGCCGTAGCGGGGAAGGCCTGGGGCACAGCGTAGCCAGTGTAGCCTCCATATGCTGCAGCCGCCACGGCTGCATTTTTCTGCAGCGCAGCCAGAGCAGCAGTGTTGGCAGCGTAGTTTGTGATGGGGACGTACCCAGCTCCATACAGGCCACCAGCGGCTGGGATGCGCTGAACGTTGTGGGCCATGGCATACACAGGAGTGATTGGACGGCCCTGGGTAGCATAGGGGAAAGAAAGGGGAAATATTAAAGCACAGAGGACATACATTGAGTCACTGCATTCAGCTGTGAGTTGGAATGCAAGTTGGAATGGAAGTTTTGTGTCACACACACTATTAAAAATGTAGACTGTAACCAAGCTTCTTTTTTTACATTCAGCTTAAACAAAACCAGCTTAAACAAACCAAATCTGCAAGTTTGGAGTTTGACAACAATAGAAATGTAAGCTTTCAAAGTCCCAGAGGGAACAGTTTCAAATTGAAAGTCAGATATTGATATAAGTGTGCAGTGTAAAGCTAGTGGATTACATTTTTAAGCTCAACAGGAAATTTGTTCCATAGATTCTTCATGGTGCACTAACCATAGTGCCCTGCAGTGTCTTTAATAACCAACCAATGTTTGGGACAGGACCTTCTACAGCTTTATCAGCATATACACATGACACACACCTGGAATGGTGGTGGGGTGGAGACAGCAGGTAGGACTGTAGCAGCAGCAGCAGTAGCAGTGGTGTGTTCAGGGTGTTGCATGGCCAAAGGGTTGATAAGATGCTCCACTGTGTGCACCTTCCCCTCCTCCATCAGCTTGGCTGCAGGAGCAGCACTGAACACTGGGTACTGCCCACCCAGAGTTGGCAATGCCACTGCACAGAGACAGACACAAAAATGAAAACTGAAACAGACTGGGCAACTGCACACAACAGAGTGTAGAAAGAGGTAAAGTGTTGACACTACACAGGAAGGAATAGCGGGACACAAACACATGTACCCATGCACAAACACATGCAATCATGCTTAGATCTGAAGGTAAACTATGAAAAGAATACAAATGACAAAAAAACAAAAAAAGAGTGGGTGAAGGATACAATTTAGGCAAGAAGGGAAAAAAATAAGTAACACAAATTGTCGTTGGGGTGTGATTCGGATTATGATGCTGCTCAACTGTGGATTAACCCCAGTGCTCCAACACACACATACACACAGCAAACACAACATCAGTCATTGTTTCAGATGGACTAAAGTCTTTTCAATCTGCTGGTGATCCTGTGATTCCACACAGACTGGGACTGAGACCGAGCTCCAAATTGAGGTCAAATCATTCAGGAAGGAACATCAGTGAAGTCCTCTGGACCTCTAATCATCAAACATATGATATTATTAAGAAAATAAGTTTGGATGATTATGTCGACAAAACAATTAGGTTTACAAACTTATTTATAAAAGCCAAGAATGAGGAAAAATACCAGTATATATGTGTATATATGTGTGTGTGTGTGTGTGTGTGTGTGTGTGTGTGTATGTATATATATATATATATACACACACACACACACACACACATATAGACTTTAGGTGATCTACACACATCAACAGGAAGCCTTATTCTGTGACGGTTTTTGATTTATTGTTTCCTTTTGTGAGTTTGGTTGCTTCTGTTCTCATTAAGGCAGTTGCATTTCCTCCTGCTAGTTGTTAGGAACAAAGGTAGAATGAAAGAAAATTATTTTTTTATACTCTTTCACTGGTGTTATTCTTTCAGAATAAAGTGGACATGATCATCTTTAGTCTGTGCATTTATAATTTTGCACTTCAGCTCCATTCTTGACTGAAGCTGTTGTAACGCTAATGTAGCTAAAGCAGTTATTCCCACAGAGAAACATTACACTCTGAATAGAAGAGGTTGGTATTCTGAAAAAAATCCATTTGTTTTTTGTTCATTTTTTTTTTAGCTCTTATAAAACAAGATTCGACATTATCAACCATAAAGAGTCAAAATTGGAGTTGAGTGGATGTTTAAAATGTGATTATGAAAGCACATATCTATAATGATGTTCAGACAGATAACAGCAGTATGTGAAAAAACACAGCCACAAGGTCTATTGTAATGAAGCCACTGCATTGTGGGTGGCAGCAACTCATAAAAAAAAAACTGTATCATTTGACACAAAAATCATTGTGGCCTTAAAGCAATGCTGATGTTCTTTGGAGTAGAATTGGGTTAGTGAATCAGATAAACTCTCAGAAGATTATCTTGGGAAGCGACCAGATTGCAGGAAGCGGTTAAATTTATCATAACAGTACTTTAGACCACTGTGTAGTGCGTCTGTTCCTGTTTAAGCTCATTTTCCTGGTCATTCTCAGTTGTATTTCACCAGTGAGTGAAACAAAACGCATGCAGCTGCTTGCAGTTCTTTAACACAGCACTGTTGTCCGTCTGAACATCCCGAAAGACAAATATGTGATGTGGAAGAGAAAAGGAAAAAGTGAGGAATAAAATATAACTGCTCCTTTCTGGTCATGTTGGAAAGGACAGAAGGTTTGTGTCATAATTCATTGATTTGAGTCCTTTTGCACACGACCATCCAGCAACAGCTATAAAGCAGATTCAAAAAAAGTTCCTCAAACCAAAGAGAAGAGAAAATTGAGGGCTGGAAGGTTTAGTAAAGGCTTTGGAGATGGGCGAGGATATGGATGGATATGTCTATGTCACTGACTTGTGCCAGGTTTGATGCCAACTGGGTTGACGGAAGCAGCAAGCTCCAGACTGGGCATCAGCTCATAGGGCTTTTCGGGCTGCTTGGTCTTGCCCTCGTGGTAGCGACTGTAGATGCCACGACCGGCAGAGTAACCCCCGAGGTACGACCCCCGTGGTCCAGGGGTACGATTACCTGCAGCAGCACGACCACGACCTCGCACAGTACCTGCTTAAAATACAATTAAAGTAATATGATGACAGGGGTTGTGGTAGAGGACTTGGGCAGCAGGGGCAGCTTTTGTAGGGCAATAAGATTTTACAATGGGTTTAGAAACTAAAAGTTCATCTTGAGATATCAGAACTTGCATTGGAGATTCATGTAGCTCTAAAGTGTGCTCATGAAGAACAACTTCTACTGGAATTTTTTTTAATCTATATTTGCACAGCATTTCTTTGGAGTGCTTTGGTTCAAGTTTGGCCTCATTCCTCAGCACTGTTCTGACTCTAAGATTAGATACAGTCATGCAAGTTCGTAGCACTGTGAGAAGGGTTTTCCAAGATGTTTGTAGCTTTGTTTTAAGCTCTGCAATAACCCAGCATGGGAAATGGGAGATGACAGCACAGCAGGAAAAGGATGGTGTTAGAATAGTTTGTCACATGGCAAGAAAGCTCATTGGTCATTGAAGGAATAAGAAGGAACAAGGATGTGAGAGATTACCATTGTTCTGTATCATTGGGGTTCCTTTGGAGAGAAAACCAAAACACAATGATTGTTGAAAGTCAAATAGATTTTCCTGCTACCACCCAAGACCATATGTAATCAATCATTAAAGGTAATGGGATTAGCATTCATTGATCCATCAGCTTTTTTTTGTCTTTGACTTTAAACAGGTTTCTGATTTTTAATCCATAAACCCTCATCAAGTTAAAGATTTTTCACAACTTTTGTCAAATAAAATTCTTGTCATCAAAGATTAAATCATTACCATCTTAGCCACCATGAACATTTAAAATCAGTTTGCATTTCTAAGTGTGTTTGTTCTTACAGTAGCATCTTTTGGATGCTATCATGAGATCTTTAGCAGTGCATTAGTCCAAACAGTTTCTGCTACCACCAGCATTTACAAAAACAGTTGTCTTTAAGAGAAACACTGGCTTCTGTCAATGGTCATTACTGATAGAGAAGCAGAAAAACTGAATTCTAACCTTTAACAAAGTAATCCCTGTTGGGTCCGATGAGGGTGTTGTAGGGATATCCATAGTATGCCAACGTGTAAGGATCACACTGGTAAACGTAGTTCTGCTGAGTGGCCTCTGGAGTGGCAGAAACTCCCCCCTTAGAGGCCTTCTGACGCGAGTACTGCTCTTTATCAACTGGCTTGGCGAGCGTCACCTCGATGCAGGACCCTTCTACCTCTGTGCCATTGAGGTGGTCCATCGCCAGCACTGCGTCATCCCGGGAGGTAAAGTGGACAAAAGCATAATCACGGATTTTCTTCACACGTTCTACACATCCCGGGTTCCACTGACTGAAAACCTGGTTGACAGAAAGACAAATGACTGATTTTTCAATATAAAACTCGATGCAGAAGATGGATTAAGATCTCATTAAGCATGGTCCTAAAGCATTTATACTGAAGCCTGTAAAATGAACAGCTAGTCCCACCTACCTGTCTAATTGTCTCCTCACTGGTCTCCATCATTAGATTCCTGACATAGAGGATCTTCACTGTCTCCATCACGTCTTCATCCACATCAATCTCTGGCTCAGCCCAGTCCACTGCAATCTGGTGGCCCCACAGCTGAATGCGTCCAGGCATCAACTTCCTGCGAGCCATGGCGGCCGCACGATGCGACTCATACTCTACAAAGGCGAAGCCGCGGTTCTTCATCTTGTCTGCCGCACTGGCATAAACTATCACATCTAATACACCCTCTGTCACCTTGGAGACCTCCTCCAGGATCTCCTCACGCTTCTTGGTCTTGGGAATGCCACCAATGAAAAGACGGCAATTGTCCACGGAGGAGCAGACCCCCAGCAGCCGCCCGGGCCGCACCTCGTAATTATTAAGCTCCCTCACAGCCCTCTTGGCCTCGTGTTTCTCTGTGTACATCACAAATGCGTACCCTCGGTTTTTCCCATCAAAGTCCATCATCAGACGCATCTCATAGATGCGTCCTACGGACTCAAACACTGGGACCAGTTCATCCTCATAAACGTCCCGAGGGATCTTGCCGACAAAGATTTCACATCCTCGAGGAGGAGAAGGGCCATTCCAGCCAGGAGGGGGGCCATATTTACGCTGACCATTTTCTTGGACCATACTGTAGCCAGTGCGCTCCATCAGGGCTACCAGTGCTGCCTCGTTGGGAGCACCAGCAACACCCTCAGGAACGTTGATCTGTCCATGGAGAGAGAGGTGGGAGGCACCAGATGGTTTGGAGGGTTTGGAGGGGGCAGCGTTGTTGCTCATGGTCGAGGAAGAAGCAGGATCTTCGGCTGTCATTCTGACAAAACCATCCAATCAGATCGGGGGCCTGAAGAACAATGAGAGAGACATGTTTATTAAATTACAGTAAGTCTTATCAATCACTGCTGCTATAAAAAGAGAGAGCAAGCAAATACAAGAAGGAGGAGAAACAAGAAAGCAGGGTAATGATCAGAAGGCACCAGCAAAAAGCCATAATGCGGCTGTTTGTTGAGGTAGAGAAAAAATGATTAACAATTTCCATGCATGCAAGATTACCTGCCTAACACAAACTAACAGAGACACATTATGTGACCTGGGCACAATGGTGGAAATACAGCATCCATAAATCCTCAGGGCGCCTTCCATTATCAGTGGTTTTACAACCTTGTTTTGTTGAGTCCCTCAGATCCCTTGCTGACCTCTGACCCCTATCAGGGAGAATGAAGGGCTATAAACCCTGAAAACTCCAGCTCAAGGTTCACTGGGTATGACTAGGTCACATGCTCAGTGTGCGCGTGTATTGTGCACGTGCATGTGTGTGTTGAGTTAAGCTGTATGAGGAATTCTGTGTAAAATACGACCCCACAGTGTGACAGAAAGCGGTACACATTAATTTGTCTTCCACATGAACCTGTTGCACACACACTGTTGGACTTTCAACCTCCTTATCGATATGAATGTTATACAGTGTGTGGGTGCAGCTTTTAATGTTGTGTGTGTGTGTGTGTTTCTGTGTGTGTGTTTCTGTGTTTGCGCCCACTCATTAAGGGGTGCAACCCTAAAAAAGGGAACAGAGAACAATCAGAAATCGGCTTCCCAAGTGTAAACCTCTTACTCTGTTATTTTCCAACACAGCCGGCATTCAGAATGGAAAAATCCACCGCATTTTAAATCCCCAAATCTCCATGCTGTGTACAACACTGAAGCAACCAAAGCTGACTACAAAACTAACTTCTTGTGATCAGCCTAAATATCATGTAAGCAATTTTTTTTTTAAAAACAACCCATTGCTCGTTAGGAAGATAATGTGTGTGCGCGCGTTCATGTGCGTCATAAGAGTGCCTAGACTTCAGCAGAAATAGGTGAGGCAGTCAACAAAGGTAAAACACTACAAAGCCAAGCAACCATGGTAACATGCACACTCATTTGACCTGACCCAATATCCCACTCTCCCACACACACCTGTTCACTGGTTAGTTTGGCCAAAGCTGGAGGGCTTAAAATCACAGCAAACTAGCTCACAGAGGGATGAACACTACGCAATTATCTTTTTAATAAAACATAAAGAGAAATACTTTCAATATTCGATAAACAAAAAACATATAGAAATATTTGAATACTATATTTGTGGTTGAAGTCAACTATTTCATTAGCTTGTGAATTTTTCTACAGAAGACAATAAGGTCATATTAGTGGTAAAGAGGAAATCAAAGTGCAAGGAAACACAGAATGCTGTTTCTTCTTCTTCTGTCTTTAGGCAGCAGTTGGTTGCTGAATCTTGACACGGGTCAAAACGACATGATAGTTTATAGAAAAACATTCATTTTAACATATTAGGAGCAACTAAAATGGCTATAGATGTGCTCAACAGTAGTAGTAGTTTCTTTTATTGCACAAATAAATCACTTGAGTTTGTCCCTTTAACTTACGACATTTTAACATCTCCTTCATTACATGTTTTCTTTCTCAGCTTTGACAGCTCGGCTTTCCCTCCCTCTGTTCCTTCTGTCGTGTCAAGCGCTAACATGACTCCATCTCTTATCAGCCTTATCTTGCCAGACTGATGACAAAGGGAGGACAATAGTCACTTTGGGAGTTCTGTTGGGTGATAAAGTGAAGCTATGTAGCACTGCGAGGTCGACACTCTGTCTCACATACCGAAGTCTGGGTGACAAAAAAATAACCCTTTCTTTCTTTTGTGTGTGTCAAAAAATCATTCTTGGTGTGGGGTCGCCTGCTTCCTGCTTTTTGACCACTTGGAGATATTCCTAACTTCCTCAGTGCTGACTGTGTCAGAAGTGAAGCGAAACTCAGATGGTTAGTTTTAATCTCTCTTCCTTTGCATAACATTAAAAATATAAGAACAGTCTGTGTGTATGTGGGAGTCTTTGACATCTATGTGAAGAAGAATGTTACCAACAAAATAAAGATAAGAAAAGGCAACTACAGGAGCAGAAATATAGCACAACATGTAAGAATATCATGTGTGGAAAAAAAAAAAACTGTTACTTTCTTACAGCTCTGACTTTATACATACGTAGGTGCATGCAGTCATGTGTGTGAGTGTAAGAGAAAGAGAGAGGGAGGAAACCTGAGGCAGAAACAGGTAGATAATTAACCAAAGTGAACATGAATCACAGCCTTTATTCACAGAGAGCATAAAGATTTACAGATGATGCCTCAGCAAGAGTTTTGAAAAGTTATGACCACTGAGGTGTGATTCTTCTGTTCTGATTTAACCTCTTTGTTTAAAAGAACAGCCTGCAGTTGTCAGGTTAAACATAATCTACGCAGATATTTGGAGCTCAGACACAGAGTTCGCCTGGTCAAAGGTTATGAACTCAGAGCAGTGCAGGAGGGAGGAGACCAGCCAGCGAAGGAAGGAGTTGAAGGAAGTTAAAGAAGCAGGGATTTGATTGGGTAACTACTCTTTTCAAATGTTCCAGTTTGCGCTGTGGAGACTGCCCATCACCTTATGTTTATGATTGATAAAAGCACCTGATTCTATACCTATTAACAGCATCCTATTGAGGACTGAATTGTTTTAAGCGCGGACTAAAAAAAAGCTTTTACAGGCTTTACTCCGGATCGTATTGTAAACACACAACGACTACTGCTGGAAAATTCTCATCTTTGGCATCCAATAAGCAAATGAGCCATGACAATAATAAAACGTAGTTCCTCTCAACGCGAAAGAGGAAGAACATTTTATTTTCTATCTCTGACCTGATAGTAAATCGACACTGCCATTAGGATTTTTTTCTCAGGAGAATATACAGATTTTGTTAAGAAGTTTGTGAGCAAACAAACCTCTCTTTGGCTCCCAATTTGTTGCAGATTATGGAGCAAAGAAAATCTGAGTGTGTGCAACAGTAAGGAACAATGCATCTCTCAGTTAGCTGTTCTATCCTGAGTGACAGTGATCCAGCCTACTGAGGAAAACAGGCCTATGGGAGCCGCCATCTTAGCTGTATGCACACACACATGGACATGTGGAGGCGATTGGTTCAAAACGTCCTCCCAGCAGCCTCTACCAGCAGAGTCACAAGGCAGCACAATAGGATCAATGAAACCATAACGCTTAAATCAGCCCTAGTCCTGCTGCTTCTGCACACCAAACAGATAACAGCAGATTATCTGTCAATAGTGACTCATGCAATCACTATTGAAACAATCATTATGAGACAGATTCACAGACATAACTGATAAAAAATAATAATAATACTTTTCATACAGGCTTAAGTCACAGAAAGTTTTCATTCAAGGACAATGAATCCTCAAAACACCAAACACTGGTAGAAAGAGAGTGACATTGACAAAGTAGAAATCTTGAGAAACGTAACACAGCAGAGGGATGGTGGTGGAAAAAGAGAAGACGAAGCAGAAGCAGAGTCAGATAGGAGGATAGCTACCCCTGTTGCTTCACAGCGCTCCGCTGCTTGGCTGCCTGCTCTGGGAGTGTTAGTCCACCTCCATGAGAGACAGGTACAGCAGGGCACTGAGCACAGAGTCCAGCCTCCTCTACACACACACACACACACACACACACACACTGAACCAGAGCTGAAAAAGCATAAGAGCTGATGAAGGTGGAGCTAAAGCAGGTACTTGTATGAGTAGAGTTTGTACGTGGGTGGATCACAGCCTGACACAGTTACTGTTACCAGAAAGGACTTTTGGTTTTAAAATACATTAAAAAAAAAATAAACATAAACAACAATGGTGGAAAGTAAATTATTGCACTGACATGAGTTTTGTATGATATTTGTGCTTTTCTTTGAGAATTTCCATCGAATGCAACTTTATCTTTATTATTTCATACACTCTGTTCATACTGCCTCTATATATACATGTATCTATTCTTATATTGTTATGTGCAGCTTACTTTATTTATACACTTAGTTTGAATATATATAACTCTCTTCATACTGTTTCTTTGACTCCTTTAATACGATGCCATGTGTGTATACCTATACTGCATATACTGCTCTTTTACCACTTCTTTTGCACGTCTGGTTTGATGCTAAACCATATTTTCTTTGGTAGTACTTGTACTCTGTGACATGACAATAAAGTAGAATCCCATCTAATCAATCCAATCTAATCTTCATACTAGTATTGCAAAATATACTATACTTTCTGTTTTATTATGTATATCTAACTGCTGTAGCTGCTATTTTCTTTTCATATGTCACATTTTAAAATATGATTACTTATTCCAAAAAATAAGCTGTTTTTTGATGTTGTCTTATGAAATAAAACACAGTGCGTAGTTTCAGTTCTTCATTACCTAACAAACATCAGAACTTTCTGCAGATACTTTAGGTGCATGTTGCTGATCTTTACTTTTATTTATGTTGGATTTTGAATGCAGGAGTTTTACCTAACTAAGTGTTTTTACTCTGATGTTTTGGGGTTTTTCCTTTGTAATGGATCTGAATCCTGCATCCACCACTACACACACCATTGAAGCAGCTGAAAACTACAACTATTTTTCCCCACTGAGGAAAAAAAAAAAAAAGCACAGAAGATGTTGGCGGATAGAGGGGTGTATGATTGGAAGTGCAGTTTTCATAGGTTTTCAGAATCTTCTGCTTAGAGTTGCAGAAATGGTCAAAAGGGCAGGAAACATTCAGACTGGGGTTTGAATACTTCCTCATGTTTGTGTTACAGTGAAAGGACATTTGGTTGCCACTAGAGTGATTTATGTCATGTCAGCACAAGACTGTTACTGTGTGTGTGTGTGTGTGTGTGTGTGTGTGTGTGTGTGTGTGTGTGTGCGTGTGTGTGTGAATTCGAGCATCCACGTGTGTTTTTTGTACATAACAACGGTGAACATGTTCCTAG